TTTATATTGGCGACTGGAAAAGGGACCCTAATTTAGAGAACTACCCATATGGATTGTAAGCGTAAGAGAGTGGAGAGCATTTTAACTAAGTGTGATACCCCGCAGGGTTTAGGGTTTTACCTGTAGTCTCCATTCTAGTTCCTTTTCGTGATTAACCAAGTTCATGGGTTAGGATCCTATAATATTTGGGTAACAAATCAAGGAACTACAATGGAGACTAGATAGGTATAGTTTACGAACGCTTGAAGATCTAAGGTTTACGGGTTCAGGGCTCTCAAGGTTTATAGGCTTGAAGCCCTCGATTCCCTTCAGCTTCGAACACCTAGGAAGAAATCTCTACACCCTTCTAGAGACCCAGGGAGAATTCGGATACGCGACTGGCCCAGTGGCAAACTACATGAGATGGGAACGAGGGTGTAGTACTTGGGAGGTAAACTCCATGTAGGCCAGGTTTAGGGTTTAGGGTTTAGGGCTACTTGGACCCCTAGGCAAGCCTGGAGTTGCGAGCAAGCAGGGTTTACCCAAAAGCTCTAAACACAAACCTTACACTCGACTGGCAGCAGTGCATCGATGCACACCCCACCTCGACAAAGCTAACGTCTAAAACCAAACAAATCCCAAACCGTAACCCCAAAACCCGAACAAACCCCAAACTCTAAACCCTAAACCCTAACCCCCAAAACCCGAACAAACCCCAAACTCTAAACTGTACGTCAGCTCATGGTCTGCACTTCCCAACGAAGGGCCATGTACTCTAGATTAGGGTTTAGGGTTTAGGGATTGGGGTCCCTTTTGGGGGTTCCTTAAAGAGATCTATAAGAGTTTCTATATCGGGCTTCTATACGGGTGCTTTAAAAGGGTTTCTATTTTGGGTACTTCTCTAAATTGGGGTTCCTTTTGAGGTCGGTTTGATAAGGGTGCCGTACTATATTGGGGACCCCAAAGAGGGACCCTAGTTTAGAGAACTACCCATATAACATGTACTTTGGCCGTCCCCAAAGTACCTATTCAGGGAGTAAATGTGCTATTTATGTATATGGACATTAATGCAGGGGCCTTAATAATTAGAAAAGGGTTTTGGGGTAAGTTATACTAAAATAGTAATAATAATAATAATAAATAATAATAAGGAGGACCCCCCAAAAAAAAACAAAAACAAAAAAAAAATAATAATTCTAGGTAATTATTAAGGCCCTTGTATTATGCACTTCCCAAGGCCCGGGAAGCTTGACTGAGGCTCCCTGCTGTGCAGAAGGCTCCCGAGACTGTGCAGAAAGAGTTAGGATCAAGGGTTCTAGGGTTTAGGGTTTGGGGTTTAGGGTTTAGGGTTTGGGGTTTAGGGTTTAGGGTTTGGGGTTTAGGGTTTAGGGTTTGGGGTTTGGGGTTTTGGGGTTTAGGGTATAGGGTTTAGGGCTCACGGGGGCTGAGCACCCTAGCCCAATAGAGGTTAACAAAGTATAGTCGTATTTTATAAGCCCGAAAAGTTTAGAGGTTACCTACTCAGCCCCTCAGAACTTTTAGCTTTTATAGGGTTTGGAAACTGGGGCTTAGAGGGTCTGAGAAGGTGGGGGTGTAGGGTTCAGGGGCTTGGGGTTTAGGGACTTAGGCTTAGGGGTTCAGGAGGCATTACCTAAACCCAGTACACCTCCTTCTGTAGGATTTCCCTATTCTGAGTTCGATATATCTGGGATAGGTTCGTGGGGATGTTGTAGGGTTTGTTCCGCTGTAAGCCCCGGGTTTGTAGGGTTCGGGGGTTTGGGTTTAGGGGGCTACGGTTAAAACCCTATAGCCGTAGATTACGCCATAAGAATTTGCATGGGCCCGGCAAGAAAAAAACCAGCGTTTACAGGTTCTGGAGGGCAGGGTATCACAGAGGCACTGGCCCCACAGTTCTGAGAGGCGAGCCTCAAGTTTCTAGGCACGAGTCCATAGGCTCCATAGTAGCTCCTTGTTGTGGTTTAAAAATCCTATAAGGTAATCCCCAAAAAGGAACGACTAAGCCCACGGGTAGTCTGTAAGTAGTTACATGGACACGGAGAGTTTGGATTGCTGTTGATTTGGGGCGGTGCAGTGCAAGATTGAAGTCTCAGGAGGTTTGCCGATGCAGGCCTCAAGTACTCAAGTTTCGGCGTTAGGTTTAGAGCCAAAGCCTTACTTCCCCAATAAGCCAGGGAAATAAAAGGTTAAACTTTCAGATAACTACTAAATCATAAGAACCTACAAAGTTTAAAGGTTGGGTATTGGGGAACCAAGAAGCCTCCTACCCCTCTCAAGCTCGTGTTGGGAGATCCCCTTCAGAGAGAAGCAGAGCCCAGGAAGTGCAGAACACGGGGAAGACAGCAGCGCGGCTTCGGCTATACAGTGTGAACTGAATTTACGCTTGATGCGGAGGTATAATCAACACACTTGCAACCGATGTTAAGGTTTTCGGGTTGACCTTATACTGTTTCCACTCTAAACGACCTTCCAAAAGAACCCCAAGAACCTGCATAATGCAAATAAGCTCAACTTCACCATAGGCAGCTCCCGAATGGAAGCCGTCCCTCAAGTCTAGGGTAGTAAAAGGCGCCATAAACCCTAAACCCTTGTTATCATTGGGTTTGGGGTGCCAGCCAATTTGATAACGAAGCCCATAAGCCCCATAAGACCCTAAACCCAAACCTTGAGACCGTAAGACCCTAAACTAACCTAGTCCAGGGTTCCTGCTATGATGTAAAGTATATTCATTCCTTTAAGGGGTTTTGGAGCCTCTGGGCATAAGACCCTCAGCCCTCAAACCCTAAACCCTAAACCCTCAAATCCCCGCGGCCGCCTGCGCTGTCCTTAGTAGACTTCGGATCGTCGTTGAGGGGCTGGGTTCGTTTTTCGGGCCACAGAGTTTAGGGTTTAGGGTTTAGGGTTTAGGTTCAGGCTGGCGGGGTTTTTAATTTAGGGCTTATAGGGCTTATAGGGTTTAGGGTTTTTTTTTGAGGTTTGACGAACCCTAACACTCAAAGCTTAACCGCGAGACTCGGCAGCTCCTGAAATCATGTTGTATCCTTGCAGTATACTCCCTAAACCCTAAACCCTAAACCGGCTTGCGTTGTGAGTAATTTATATTGTTCAAGAATAAGCAGCAGCTCGAAGTGCACAACTCGTTGCCTAGGTTCGGGGCTGTAGGAATTTAGGGTCGACTTTAGCAGCACGTGGAACTTGAGTTTACAGGGCATGGCACCAGGGTGGAGGAAGCTAGCAGGCCTATCGGGTTATCAGATGATCAGGGGAGCGAGGGCGCTGAAACCAGGAACATACGATGCTGAGGTGAGGAGAGCACAGTGCTATGGTCTTTGGGCTAACAATCTGATTTTTCTACTCCGAAACCCTGGAAAACTCCAACGACTCTGAACCCTGCGACACCGTGTCTTCAAGTACGTGGAGGCCTTGCACGGGGCATGATCATGATGCTCCCAGCCGAGGACGTGGTAGCTATGATGTCACGCCTCTGGAGGTGGTAACTGAAGTCCGCGACCATAGCTGAAGTGCGCAGCCACGTGTACACCCCAGAGACAGCACCATTCTCCTCTTTGGGTGCCTCCGCCGGGTGCATTGCCCCGGCCCTGAGATTTGGGACACTATCCACGACCCCTGAACCCCAAACCCCAAGACCTAAACCCCTAAACCCAAAAACCCTACGGCTGATGGACAAAATCCTGCATGACCTTATATACCTAAACCATGGGATTTATGGTACTATAAGTACTATACTATATTTGAGTCATGCAGAATTTTGTCCATCAACCGTATCTCCGGGTCTCCACTCCAGTGCCTTTCCCCCGAGGCCTTGGTTGCAGCGATGGCCGCCTTTCCCCGACCTTTCCCACGGCCACCGGGAGTGCCGCCAGGTTTACCTGGAACCTCTGGGGCGTTCTTATTTCCGCCTGCCTGTTTCCGAGGGGGTGTTTCAAGCTGCTCAGGTAAAGAAACGCCTGCAAGGTACAGAATTGCCTTCGGGATTTCGGGGTTAAGACAGGAATGAAGGGTTTCGGACAAAGTTGGTTATTTGCTAGTTTGGCGCAGGAAGTCCTAACCTCGACCCTCCGATCAAGCAGACGACCCACTGTCAGCCCGTACCTATGTACCATTCGGAGTAGACCGTAGAGATGTACGTGCACCGAAACAAAAGTTATATACCTGAACATCTGTATGAACTTCAACCCCAGGACCCATATATAGCAACCTGGACACCAAAACCAGCTACCCGACCTTACAACCCTCGAAGCTGAATCGAAGTCATGGCGTGCCTCGTCGCGACCATCATCAAGGAATCCAGGACCCGCAGGGTTTGGTGGGTGCATATATATAGGTTCAGGCAGGGTTTGGTTGGTGGGTCAATTAAGGGCCAGGACATCGATCAGACTAGCTAGGGTCCTATAATAAGCTAGGGACACAGAAAAGGTTGTATAGGTTTGATAACACCTTCCGCACACACACTCTTTCAGCCACTCAGCTGGCCAGGGTTGCTTCTGCGAGTTTGCCTCTAAAAAGGCTAGCAGCTGTCTTCAGCATTGCAAGCGTAGCACCCGTCCATCATCGCCTGTTGCGGCGACCGGGGCGCTTTCCATAGCCAGTTTTTTCCCAGTCGCGCACTATAAAGGAGAATTTCAGAAGATAGTGATGTAGGAGGTGTCGTTCGAAATGCGCTTTCTTGAATGCTATGCGTCGAGACTGTCTCGAGACGCGGCCTATAAAGTCTTCCGATTGGCTGCAATCGAAAGTGGCCGGATTGAGGGTTGCCTGGCGGTTTTTCAGCATTGACACTTCGAAGTCATGTTTAAAATGACATAGAGCATGGTACTTCGGTGTGAGGCCAAACAAAGGCATCTGCCGCAGGAGGCAATATTGCGCAAGCTGAGAGTAGCCTCTCAGGAAATCGTAAAGGCTCTTGCGAAGAAAGCGAGTGCAGCTTGGCCCCAACCAAAGCGAGTGCCCATGGATCCCCTGAGAGAACTGCAATCCACCAGTTACAGCTGTCTCAAGGAAATTACAAGCACGGCAACTGCGAAAATCATGGCCCGTGCCCACACTGCAACCACGGCTGCGAAGCTGTACCAGGAGTACCCGCAACCACTTGAAAAGGACGATTGTGTCCGAGCCCTTGCATCCAAGCCAAGGGAACGCCTTTCCACTGGCAAAGTGCATTTTTTCTTGCTGAAGCTTCTGAGGCCCCCAACATGTAAAGACGCAGCGTCCATAAAAAGCTCAAATTGCCTCCAAGCTCTTACGAGCCTGTTGTCAACAGACTTTGATTCACCTTGAAGGTCGAAGGCTCCCAAGTTGCACAATAGCAGGATTGCTGACGCCAGAAAGTTACGCGCCACACCTGATCGAAAGAATCGAACTCTGTCACACGATTACACACGCAGTGTATATATGCATGTATTTACGTATGCATGCATGTGTGTACATGTCTTCATACATACACATATGTATACACACATATATATATATATATATACACATTTACATATAGATAGATATACATGTGTACACATATATGTACATATATATATATATATGTACTTGTATAGATTTCACAGTATATGCATGTCTATATAAATATGTGTGTCTGTGTTCTCTCCGAGATAGGTGAATGCACGCATCTTCCACACTTCTATATACATGCTCGCGAGTTTCCATAAATAATCAAAACGGATGCTGGAGTAACCAAGAATCCCAGCCTGAAGACGTGGAAAGGATCTCTGCGAAAGAAGTCGGTGACACGCGATGGAAAGGATTGCCAGTTGTCAAAAGGCAGTTGCACAAAAGGCGGCGTCCCTGTCCATGGAGCGGACCTGCCAATGGTCCTAGTCCACAGAGCATTTGCATTGGCATCCTCAAAAGGGGTTTCTGCAAATCCAGCCTCACACTCCATGCACACAGGGATGTCCTGTGCCCTTCCCACATGCTCATAGCTTCTTTTCAAGCCAGATTGTCGTAAGGAGGTGCAGTGGAACTCAAAGTCCGCTTTCAGTCCCAAAACTGCAAAGTTGTACCGCTGGCCTTGCGCTGCAAGGCCGCTCTCAAAAAGCTCACGAAGCTGGCTTGATAGTGCTTTGAAGATGTCTGGCAAAAGTGCGGCGGGCCATTGTTTGCCTGGAAAAGCAACAAGAAGGAAGCGGCTCAAGTAAGAGTGGTATCTCCCGTTGCATCTTTGCCCAATCTGAAGCACAGGTTCTGCACAGGTGCACAGTTTGGGTTGGCCACGACCAATGCCCAGAGTAGGCTCCAAGCTGATTATCTGCAAGGGCTGCCTGGGTTGTATTTCGACAGGGACCTTATATGTAGTAAAAAACTTACGATCAGAGGTACTTCTATGTATATACATATGAACCACAGAAGAAGAAGTGACAATGTTCCGGAAGTGCCACCTAGTTGCTTCTTTTGTGTGCGGCCACCATCACCATGAAGGCTGAGCGGTATTGTCCAGCGCAAGCGTTCAGTAGGTGCCCCAAACACAGCATGCGATGGATGCATGTCCCGATATCGGCCCCAAAACATAGCTAGTCCACGGTTGGCAGCAGGATCGGACGCAGCATACCCTCCCAACACCAGATCAGCGTGGTAGTTCAAGAGGTAGGAAAGGACGTCTTTCGGGGCCAGGTAGGGCAGAGTGAAGGTCTCGCTATCAACCGTCAAGGTATGATGTGAAAGTGGGATAGGAGGTCGAAGGCAGAACTTGCTAAGGATCTTTTCCACATGTCTGGCAGAGTTCTGCTCAGACAGTCCCAAAACACCCCCCAACTCTTCTCGGGTGGCTTCCACACCCTTTTGCAGGACCATGGCCTTCTGGTGGGCCGTCACAGAGCTCGCTGGTGCCTTGGCTTTGAGCAGATTCGACTATGTTCGGAGAACATACTTAACACGTCCAGTAACACGAAGATAAACACATATATATACATGTAAAAACAGATGCATGCATGCATATGCACAGATGCACATGCTTACACGCAGGTGAAAAACCTAGATGCACATACACAACCATATTCACGAATACGATTTTATGCCATTTAACGTGCATCAGACATACATACACATTATATCAGCATGCACGACACGCGTAAATAGAGTAACTGTGAGCCAGCCAAATTTAAAGTGCCCATGTCCCGAAGAAGCAAGGCGTTTCTGGTTGAAGGTTTCAAGGCCACGTAGCTACCGAAAGCACTGTAACAGCCTGCCTAAGCAAGACTTTAGTAATTGAGTCCGTATATAACACTGGTAGACAGATCGAGAGAGAGATCGCCCTCATCAGTCGATCCTCAATTAACACAGGCTCATACAATCCTTTGCAAAGCCTTGGACTACGTCAAAGGAATGCGAAAACCATTGGACTAGAGGCTGCCTTGCAACATAGCTATGCCCAGCATCCTGTGATTGAACCCGTATATAGCAGAAAGAAAACCAACATAGCACAACCAAAGACTACCAAGGGGCACTGCAGGTTCTTAATTCGAGTTTCGGAAGTTTGAGCTGCGCTTGCATGGGACTTTCCATGCGGTGCTTCAAATAATTGGGGCTTATATATATATATATATATATGTATATGTATATATATATATATATATATACAGGGCTTTATACATGTTTCGGGGCCGATAGATACCTCACATAGATATATTATGGGGCTAATATATGTGTATACATATATATATATATGTATTTATACAAAGTATGTTCTATATACATATATATATATATATGCAGATATATTCCTATATATGGCTTTATACAGGTGGTTTGCTTGAGGTATATATGGGCTTTGCTCCATGTTGCACCATCCGCCACATTCTTCAGCAGATTTTCCAGGATCGGGGTGGGCTCCGCAGGGGCAGCGCTTGTACCTCCGCACCGGACCGAGTAAAGATCATACCCACAGACTGTCGAAGCCTAAATAACCATTGCACACAATCACCTTGGGCACACTGCACTTTTCACTCTTGCAGTGACCATCTAGAGAGTCTCCTAGCCCTATATATATATAGCAGGGTCAGGCAGGCCACCATTAATTGCCGTCGCATGTGCAACGTGTCTAGAACACGTCGAGCGCACAGCAGGGCTCCATAAGATCTGGGTTTTCAGACCATAGGAGAGTGATCACGATGTTTCGACGTGAAGTGGGATATCACCATGGGGATGTCTTGGCACAGGAAAAGCAGGACATACAAAAACAGCAAACAAATCGTTACATAGAGTCGTTACAGAAGCACCCAAAGTAGCATCTACATAGATATATGTATATATATACCTGGACACGAAAACTAAATTCTAAGCTATATAGAGATGTCCTTGCCTGCACCCATCCTGTCTAGATGAACCTTGGCTCATGCCAGCTCACTCAACCTTAACCTTCTTCGAGGCCGCGTCGGCCAGCTTCTTCTGCTGCGTCTTCAAATACTGGATCATTGGAGCGCATCCACTGCTGAAGCTCAACGACTCCACGCACCTGGGGTAGGGCATTCAGGGCTTGTGCACAGATCTATTAGAGGTTAGATGTATTCCTGTAAAAAAATATGTGTATAAATATATATAGAGGCAATATTAACTGGTTTTAGCAGTGGGGATTTTAATTCATCCGAACTGAGTCACCATTCACTACGTACAGTAACAACGACCGAAGTACATAAAGTACTGTCTTTCTCGAGTTTCAGCGTAGTTCCCGAATTAACGCTTCCCAAATCTAGTTTTGGCTTCTGGTGATGTTATTTATATATATATATATATACATACATATATATTAACTGCATCCTAAACAATTATACGAGTTTTAATTGTATAAGAGTATATATATATATATAGAAAACCATAGAATTGGTTTCTCGCCTTGGGAGAGTAGAGGGTGCCTTTATATAAAGGTTTATATATATATATAGTTTATATTTATATAGAGCCTATATAGGGATATTCTTATAGGACTCCTTCGAACGGTATTAATTGCGGAGGGGGTTATATCCATACATAGTAGATGGAGGGTCCCTCCTATATAAGGGTTTATATAATATGGGGTTCAGGGTCCCTGGCTAAGGGGCTTAAATACAGGGTGTTAAGGAAGTTTTATATGGGGTCCCTTTAGATTAGAATTCTTGGGTTATACAGGGTTTGGGAAGTTTGGACGTTATAGAGTTCTTCGGCTGCAGGATGAGGGTTCTGCAGAGATTGGGCATTATATGGGTTTGGAATTTGCTCTGGGGCTGGGGGTCGTCCAACTTTGGGAATTCAGGGTTTATAAGGACTTAAGACCTTCCCCACCATGCTATTCAAAGCCGGTGCTCCCACTGCTCTCCTTCATCGGGGTACGAATCGTGAAAGACTTTAGGGTTTTCAGGGTTATATATGGTTATATCATAGGGGTTCATACAGGGTTAATAGGGTTTTGAGGGCTCGTATGCTAAACTCGGAACTCCTTGGTTAAGGGCTTGCGCGGGGCAGGATCTTTGTTCGGGTTTAGCTCGTACATTGTCGAAGTAAGGGCACAACTTTCGATCAGGAAGCAACATGGCGAGGTCCACGTATCCAAAGCTAATTACACTTTGCAAAACAGTCTAAGCTGGCGAGCTGACTAGCATCTGTACAAACAGCTGCCATGCCCCTGCTTAGGCTAGCCCTTCGGTTGGACAAGAATACGCTGCACGACGTAGCAGAAAAATGGCCCTGAGCTTTGCTCGTGAGCTTTGCTCGTCCATGCCCTCTCCACCCAAGCGGATATTGCGACAGCCAGGAGCATTAAAGAAAATCCGTATTAGGGCTGCTTCCAGGAGACCAATAATATCAGCATTGCAGTGTGCATGCAGAACGGTCATCCGCTCCCACTGGACGTGCTTATCCAGCTTGTACCCATAGCCAGTGTGCAGCCAACGCTGTACAGGGTTTCTGGTGACCCCAATCTTGTACAAAGCCGGGTGTTTGGAAGAGATGCTCCTGATGCAAAGTTCAGCATGAGACAATATGCTAGAGGCCAATTTCGAGTTGGCCAGATCAAACACAATCTGTTCCTGCGCAAAGTTTGTTTGTTCCAGGTCAGGAACGACCTCGTCTCGAAATCGCGGTAGGGATGTAACATCCCCAGATAGTTGCCCAACCCAATGCCAGGGATCCCTGTTGCGGACAAGTTTTCTGAGCCAAGGTTTTTCTATCACGACCGGCAGCTGCTGCAGCGCTGGTACATGAGGCACTGGTGGCGATTGCTCCGACTTCTGGGAAAGCTTTGCCTCTGTAGCTTGATGATCAGACCCCGGACCCAAGCAACCAGTTGGCTGTCTTTTCCAATCCCGAAGCAGTGACTCAGCATCCTCAGCGTCGTCCCATAACAAGGAAGCCAAGGTCCGCAAACGCTTGCCCATACCGAAACACACCAACAGGAGCACTTTGCTGCTGGCAGCGTTCGGCCATGCTCCAGCAGGCGACTCCGGCTGAAACTTACAAGATCGATGTATATAGGAGTGCACGTATTATACGTCTTGTCTACTACTGCGGAGAGCTTTCCGAAACCACGCAACATATACAGGTAACGAGTCCTATAAACATCAACATGAGGCTGTAGCCCAGGAAGATCTTGTTAGTTGCAAACTAGGTAACTAGGTACACAGTGTTCACTCGCAAACGAGCACGACCAAAAAATACCTGCATCAGGGCTTCATAACTGCATACCTGGGATTGCTACAAACATCCCAGACCAGGATATTTTCAAGCTACCACAGAAGCCAGACAGTGCCAAGTACGGATGTAGCAGTCCCCCGAAATCTCAAGGATGTTTCCCGTATCCCTGCAGGCCAATTTTGGTCGATACGGCAAGAACATTGTTCGTGCACATGTTTGAAAAGCTTGGATAAGGAAACCTCATGCTGAACTCATCCACAATTAATGAGTTTAATTTTGTCTATGTATAAGTGATTTCCACCGGAACAAACCCAAATCTACCTTATCCAACAGCTGACAGGCAGCTGCTGCTTCGCCATGTTGAAGAGCTTCTTCAGCTCATCTTGCTGCCTGAGAAGCAGGGGATCACATTCGGGTTTTGGCCGCATTAATTCGGGCGGGGCTCCAGCATTCCGTGAAGCCAGGGTCGTATTTGCGAAACCCCGAACTATTTTCTAAGAGAGAGACTACATGGGTTGGCAATAAATCAGCGTGTACCAATTAATGGGCCATTATGTTCATATGTAGCCTTAGTCAAGCTCGTTCGGGCTTGAATTTGTTCCACTAATTGTAATAGTCGGCACCATAGTAGGTCGGATGGACAAGACTGACAAGTTGTTCATGGAGGCAACAGAAGACATTACAAGTTTGTCTTTCTTCCGTTACACCTAGAAAGAAAACTTTATAGGGGCTGCTTTCTGTTCGAGGCCAGGGCTCCATGCCAGGAGGCTTTGATGGGTTGGCATCACGGGTGTTGCAGGAACACAGTGGCATACATATATTTGTAGTTATATACAACATGTGCATAACAAAAATATAACAACCGAAATACGCAAAAGTGTATGTCTGTATTAGCAAGTAAATTTACATGATTGTATATCGGTAGATTGGACAAGGCTCTCTAATCACACTTTACTAGCTGGGTCTATATAAGGCTTTCAGCTAATAGTGAATAAGGGGGCTCGTGTAGAGTTTCTGACGAAGCAGGGCACTTCAGGTAGTGCTGGGCAGGAGTCCTCTGAATGCTGGCTTCGGTTTCTATGTATATATATATAAGGCTTCTGCTTACTCGTGGGAAGAGATGGTTGGCAGGAATTTGTATATGTATATATGTATATACATACAGATCGAGGTTATGTAGCTTTGTTTGGGTTTATATATATATATATATATTAGGGTTATAGGGTGTACATATATATGTATATATATATATAGGGTGTATATATAACCATATCGACGGGTTTATAGGATCGATATATATATATATATATAGTTGGGGCCTTATATATATATATATAACCCTATATTACCTATATTTATATATATAAGCCCTAGATATATATATATATATATATATATATATACATATATAAACCTTGTATATAAAGCCTATAAACCTTAAGAACCTCTTAACCCTATAAGCCCTGTAAACCCTATATATATACACATACATATATATATATATACATATAAACCCTATATATATATATAAAAACCCTATATATATATATATATATAAACCCTATAAGCCCTATATATATCTATATATATATATATATATAAACCCCATATAAACCCCATAAGCCCTGTAAACCCAAAAAACCCTATATAAACCCTATATATATATATATATAGATATATATAAACCCCTTATATACCCACCAAACCCTATAAACCCTATAAACCCTATAAACCCCGAACCCTGAAACACAAATTAAGACCACTCCGAGGTGGCTGCCTGCACGGTAGGAGGCTGCTCGGAGGCACACGTGCACGTAGACAAGAAGAAACACCAGCAACAGTACCCGAGAAACACATCGGCTCTGTTGTTGTTTAAGTTTGTTATTTAACACCAGACCAAGCCAAGATGATTCAGCATCAGGAGTCCTTGCTTGGCCAGACAAGCCCTAGCCGACCTAGATTCGGAGACGCTTTACAGCAGGTTTCTCCTACGCTAGTGACCTGAGCTTAATGGATGCACACACTCGCGCAAGATAAGCCCTAAACTGGAGAATTACCTGGAACTCAGAGTGCAGACACATGTGTCCATGTGTACATGTGTATATGACTGTGTATGTATGAGCATATATAAATATATATATAGGTGTATATATATATATATGTATAAGTGTGTGTATAAACGTGGATGTGAAAGTATATCTATGTACATCTAGTCACCCATCGACATATATATGTCTATCTATCTATATATATATATATACATAGACATGCTTCTGTACACATAGGTACAAGCAAAGTAAATCAACACACCCATGTACATGTTCATGTATACATATACACTTGGAGAGGTATATGCGCATGTATGTATACATATATATACCGGCATGTACATATATATATATATATAGAGAAACACAGATATGATATGCATCTATGTACATATGTATATATGTATATTTCCAGACTTCGAAGAGAACATACCCCAAAAAAGGGCAGGACCACCAACCCCCTCGACTTGTCTCATTCAAACCTAGCAGCGCCAGGCTGAAGCCTTTATCTTGCAGGACACTCTTCGCTTGCAGCTCCTGGATGGTTTCGGAGGTCTTCTCCAAACCAGCCACGAGGTTCTTCGCTTTCTCCTGGATCCTGAAGAAAAACGGACTGCGGAAGCACAGAGCAAAAATATGCCACAAGAGGGACACACAACACCCTCGATCTGTATTCTAGTCTACCAGCAAAACAAAAAACACTTCATATGCAAATCCAGCTTCTTCTCCGTCTTGGGGCTCTTCTTGAACTCGGCCAAGGTGTCGTCGACACTTCCGACTTTCGTGGCCCACTTTCCCACACAGCAAACGACCTTGACGATGTACGTCGACGGAAGGCCGTCGCTGTCCATTTCCGGCCAGCTAATGGCCTTCATCCTTTTCTTCACATCAGCCTCCCGGTCAGCTCCAGCCACAGTCGCATCATCGCCTGAATCGTACATGCGTTTGTGCAGTCGTCATCGTAGTAGGTGGTAGTAGTAGTAGTAGTAGTAGTAGTAGCAGTAGTAGTAGTAGTAGTAGTAGCAGTGCTAGCAGTAGTAGTA